CACACACACACACACACACACACACGGGCCTGCATGCTCACCAAGATGACACTGAGACACAGTGAGGAAGATGCGGGGGGGGGGGCTGTTCAGTGCTCCTCTGAGGGGTTGGTGTCAGAGAAGAAACTCCAGCCTCTTGTGTGTTATGGGTCAGAGACCTAAAGGGTCCTCTAGCCCAGAACATGCTTCTCTGAGCTGTCTCAACTTCCCCATCCTTTCCATAGCCCCAAACATCTCCCCATCTGGCTTCCAGGAACAACAGTAGGAGGGGCGAATGTTCAAGAGCAGGAGACTTACAGGGAGCAGGAGATGCTCTTCCCTGTGTACCCAAAGGTTAGTAAACACTGCACCAATGTGGGCTAAATCTCGGACCAGAGTGGGAATGAATACTGAACTCCAAGGCAGGCCCAGTGGATCTGAATACTGATAAGTATGCACACTCCTCACTGAGGGGCACAGCCTCTCAGAGCACACAGCTAAGCCCCCACCCAGGGGATGCCAGATCTAAGCAACCAGCATGGGGTAAACATTGTCCCAAGTTCATTAGCAAACACAGCATGGTGGAGGGGAGTACATGTCTTCCAGGTTGCATGTGGGTGGAATATGGGTAAATATTCGCGCTCCAAACATAAATATTTTTCCTTGGTCGTGGGTGTCTGTATGGTACCTCAAACATGATGCAATACCCTCGACTCAGGATGGGAGTCAGTATCCTTTGGTTATGGTAGGTGAGACACTCAAGAACTAGGGGCAGGACACACAGTATACCCAGGACACATTTAACTTCTCCTATGTGCATAGCTGTTGTACCCAGAGTGACATTTCAGCCACATTTAGAGACAGTCCTGAGGTAGGACATCCAGGCAACCCTGAAATTTATGGAGTGTTTTGTTTTTTCAGATAGGGTCTTGCTATGCAGTTCAGGCTGGCCTTGAACTCACTCTGTAACCTAGGCTGGCTTTGAACTCTCAGTGATCCTCCTGCCTCAGACTCCTAAGTGCTAGAATTACAAGTGCGTACCACCATATCCTGCAAAAATTGAGTTATTAATAGTGAACCCAAGCTGAGTGTGGTGTGGTGGTGCATACCTATAATCCCAGCACTCAGGAGGCTCTAGCAGGATTGCCAAGAGTTCCAGGCCAGCTTGAATTACATAGGGAGACCCTGTCTCTGGGGGGAAAAAAAGTGAACCCAGTAGGACCCTGGGTCTAGGTGACTCATGGATCTCTCATGTATTCCAAACCTGCTCACAGGGTGCAGTGCCCAGAAAGGCATCCAGTCAGGACCTGTCTACCTGGACTCATGGCTGGTGAGGGGGTAGGGCAGCCCCAGGAGCCTGCGAGGTGACCCCCAACCTCCCTCTCTGGCTCCTGTCTAGAGATGCCCCTCCCCCTGCTTTGCTCATGCATGTCTGGGGGCCACCCAGAAAAGCTCTGAGAAAAGCACCCAGTCCTCGTGGTACAAGGTACAGGCCAGCTGGGGCTGAGGTGGAGGCAGCCTTGGAACTGTGGCCCTCACATCCAGCAGCTCCCATTAGTAGGCTATAGGCCCAGGACATGGATGGGTTCCTCTTGGAGCTGCCTTGGGAGAGGATGGGGATGGAGATGACTCCGGGTTGGAAAGGACTCTCAGCCACTTCTGGGCAAGGACAAGTGTGTGTGCCTGCAGGCTCTGTATGAACATGCCCACCTGTGTGAGAGGCATATGTGTGACAGGTATGCCCCCAACCCCACCCTCAGCTGCCAGCCCAGCTCCCGCTTTAGTAGTTGCCAGCTGGGGGCCCATTAGACCTCAGCTGGGCACTCCTGCCTAGGAGCTGGAATGGGCCATGCAAGGTGTTCCTGTGTTTGGCAAAACAGCAGTTGTTGGTTGGCGCTTCAGGATTCCCTGATCTAGGGAGCAGGCTAATGGGGAGGTAGCATCCTGAAAAGGGTAGCCCTGGGGCCCTTGTGGCTCAGGTATACTTGTCTATGGTGGAACATTTGGATGGGGCTCTTATCTAAGCAGTGACTTGCCCCTGGGGGCCTTGAGGGGTCGGGCAGGAAGGCCTCTGCCCCTCTTTACCCATCTGCAGGCAGCCTCCTGGAGGAGCAGACTCACCACACTGCTGAGCTCTGGAGAGATGGCAGGAGGCCTAGGACACCGGGTTTCTCTTCTTCCTACTCTGTCTCTGTCGCTTTTTCTAGTGCTGGGGATCAAACCAGGACCCTGAGTGCTCTACCCATCACACTTCCTAGGGTTCTTCTCACCTCTCCAGAGCCAGCTGGCATCTCCTCCAAACCTCCACCGTGACTGCTCCTCTCTCAGCCCAGGTAGTCCTAAGGGTTACACAGCCCACTTGGGCATTCATGCATCAGCCCTGCCTGGTGCGTCTGTGCCTCCTCAGAGTCCTCATGCCCAGGCCATGCTTCAGCTAAAGAGAACCTTGTGTGGGGGCCTGGAAATCTAGACTGGAACAAGCTTACCTGAAGCTTCAGGCTGGGCGGGGTAACATTCCCACCCTCTTCTGTTCGATGCCTGTTCTGTGTGTATGCATGTACACACACACACACACACACACACACACACACACACACGAGTCAGGTCTCCAAGGCCGCATGCAGCCCATGTAATCTCTGCAGCTTGACTGCACTAATGCATTAATGGGAAAGCTAGAGACTCCAGGAGCCACAATGCTCCCAGGTGTGTCTAACAAGCATCTTATGGCGTCACTGGGTAGCCCAAGAGACTTGCTCTGATGGCAGCATGTCAGGCAGTGGGGCCAGTGAGCCTGAATGTCCAGCTCCTGGCTTGGTGCCTATGGGAGTAGAAAGGTCACACTGACAGGAAAGGCTTCAAGTCAGTGCTGCATCTGCACTGGGACTTGCTAAAATCACCTGTGGCTCTGGCTGTCCTGGGCTCCCTGAGTGTCCTCAGTGGTGACAGAGGCCTCTCTGCCTCTACCTGGACCTTCACATTAAAATAGGGTCCTGGTGATAGGTCTTCTCCAGTCCCAGAGACCACCAGGTCCTTGCAGGAGATGACTTCCGGTTTGAGGAGCCATCCTCCAGGTGTGTTCTGGTGTGCGCAGCAAGCCTGCAGGTGCATCTGGCTTCCTCCACATATTATACAGTTATCTCTGGGCACCCTGGAGCTGCTCTCTGCCTCTGCACTTCTTTTTCAGGACCGGATGCCCCCATTTACACGGAAGACCCCATTCCAGGTCCCTCTGAGTCAGAAGACAGTGAGAGATAGTAGTGAGCAGCGGGAGCTAAAGAAATGCTCCTTGCAATTCTTTCTCCTGTAACCCCACTTCTATCTCCAGCCTGGCCTCTCTGGCTCACTAGAAAGGTGAGAGTCAGTAATTCCCAGCCTCTAACCCACTCCACCCCCAGCTGCTCTAGTCCGGGCCTTCCTCCTCTGCCCACCCCCTTCGGCCACATCCCAAATCCCCAATCCCAGCAGCAGACCTCGGTGTTTGCCTGTTGCCATGGTGATGGGATGCACCTTTCTGTTACTATGGCAACCAGCCAGGGGTTTTTAAAATTCAGTTGAGGTAATTTCCACCCCTCAGTCCTCATCCTCAGACACCTCATTTCTTCCCTATTCTTCTCCGAATGTTAGAATGTTGGGGGTGCACAGCTCCTAGCCGGAGGTGGAGGGTTAGAAGGATTGGTAGGAAGACTTCTGCTGCCAATTCATCTCTGACTGTTCCACCCAGACTAGACTCTGGGGAACAGGATAGCCTTCTTCTCACTCCTTTGCCCAGGTCTAGGGCCAGAAGATGAGAGTTGGGCATGACTGAACAGGCAGAAGCTGGCACATCTTGGAGGCTGAGAGAGGGTGCAACCTATGTGGCTGTGTGCCTGTGCAGGAGCCCTAGTGCGTCCCCAGGCCTCATCTGAGGATCTCAAGATACTGGGGCTCAGACCCTAGGACAACAGGGGACAGATGTTGTTTACGTTGCGTCCTGGTGCTAAGGAGCTTAGCACAGCGGAACCCTAGGCTGGCTGGATTTGGGCAGAGGACATGCGAAGGATGGAGGGAAGGGGGTGAGGACACTATCCAGCTGCCTCTCCCTCTTCCCAGTAGAATCCTCCATCCCTGGGTACCTGCTTTGTTCAAGCTAGTCACTGTAAATTCACAAGGTTCCACATCCACTCCCTGCACCATCCCTCATCCAGGCTGAAAAAAGAGAAATGGACATCCAGGACAGACAGGTAGGTCCTCTGCCTCCACAACAAGCAGAGTAGGCTGGGTGTAGACATGGGGTCACAGGGAGTGCGCCCTGCGTGAGCCTGCCTGGTCTGCTTGTAACTCCCATGCCTTGGCTTGTCTCTCTCTCCATGTAATGTTCCCACAGGTAGAGCCTCCCTGAGAGAAGAGTTTCAAGGACAGCTCTGGAGCAGTCTTGCAGCAGGGCACCTTGCCCACTGCTCTAACTTGTGCCTGTTTTCCTATCACATCAGTGGGTGGTCAACTGGGACCTCCATGTCGGATGTAAAACATCGCTGTAACTCCAGGAACCCAGGTCTGCTTCCCCAAAGCCAGGGACTTCAGGATCCTCAGATAGGTGTCAGAGACAAAGAGCACAGGGCCAAAGGCAGCACCTCTTCTAGGATCCAGGCAAGCCAGGTGCCCTTGGGAAACCACAGAGACCTCCTAGATTGAGGACCCTACCGGAGCCTGTGTCCACTCCCTCCCTCTCCCAAGTAGTGAAGTCCTGGAGACGAGGCTGATTGTTTAGGGTGAGCATTGCCCTCCCCAGTCTCCTCCATCCACTCCACTTGGGGGTCGGGGTCCCTGCTGCCTGCCTACCAAGACCCATGAAACCTTTTCAGGACCCACATATGTCTGAACACCCGAGTCCATGCCATCCCCACTCCCATAAAGTAGAATAATAAAATCTGTTTGACACTTTTCATGAGTTATTATTCCCACCAGCCTGGTAGGCTCAACCAGCCCAGACAAAGCCACATGATTCCTGATGGTGGTGGCGTCACTCATTCTGTCCCCCTGCCAGCTGGGGGGGGAGGGGTTAAACTAGGATCTTGGGCAAGGAGGCAGGAGGATGGTGTAGTGGGAAGGGATGAAAGAGTTCAGTGGCCACCACCCTTGCACTTATCCATTTTTCCTTTTGCTTCTGCCCTTCCCAGATTCCCAGGCCAGAGTAGCCCTAGTCTAGGCTCTGGAGAAGGGAGGGAAGGCTGAGTCCTAGGGCAAGGAGGATGTCCTAAGTGGGGAGCCTGGTGTGTCCAGCAGCTACAGAACCAGAGAGGCTGCTTATCTCTTCCTCTTTACAGCCAGTGGGGTCTTCCTGGGGTGATAGATCCCAAGGAAGGCCAGACCCCAGCAACCATTCCCAAAGAGCTCTCTGATATCCAGGAACCTGATTTTTTTCCAGGACTGGGGGGAGGGGGGGCTGGGGAGATAGCTTAGTAGGATAAGTGCTTTCCTGGCAAGCGCAAGGGCCTGAGTTCAATCCCTAGTTCCGCTAAAAAAAAGAGGACTGGGGATGGAACCCAGGACTTCATGCATGCTAAATAATCCCTCTACCACTGATTTATGCCCTCTTCTAACCAGGGAACTGACTTTGAACTGCACCACAGCTCTGCCAAGGCCTCCATACTTGAGGCCCTGTGACAAAGTCCTGGGGCAGGGCTTCCAGAGTGTCCTCCCGAAAGTGCCAGGTGGCTGGAAAAAACCATTCAGTGTGACCTGCCTGGCATCAAGCTTGGTATCAGCCAGAACAAATCCAGCTGAGCAGACCCTCTAAGAAGGCCTGCAGGCTGATCCTAGCAGGCTGGCCCAGCCCAGGAGCCTCATCCAAAGTTGGAATGAGAGGGGCCAGGGAGATGGCTCAGTAGGATAAGCGCTTGACGGGCAAATGCCAGGATCTGAGTTCAATCCCCAGTTCCACCAAAAAAAACTTAAGTATCAAAGTTGGAATGAGGAGTGCAGGTGAAAGAGGAATCAACAGGCCCTGGCAGGGCTCATGCAATACCTTCTGCTGGAGCAGACTGAGGTTAGCAGGGTGTGTATGTAGGCAGCTCTACCCCAGATACCTGATGGCTGTAATTCTGGGCTCTGCTTGGGTTCCTAGCACTTGTTCTTCTCTAGGGTCAGAGTCAGAACTCTCCCCACCTTCCATATGCACATACCATGCAGGGAATAGGCCTTAAACTATTACCCTAGGGGCTGGGGATTTGGCTCAGCGGTAGAATGCTTGCCTAGCAAGTTGGAAGCCCTGGGTTCAGTCCTTGGCACCAAAAACAAAAAATAAATCTCCTCTAAAAAACAATTCAGGGCTGGTGAGATGGCTCAGTGGTCTAAAGCACCTATTTAAAACAAGCTTAGTTATGGATAACCGCTAAGAAATAACAATGTGCAATGTATTAATTATTGAAACTGTCCTATTAATCAGCTTTGAAACTGTCTCATTGATATTTGTTTCTCAATAAAAAAAGAATAAAACTTAAAGAAAAAAATAAAAAAATAAAACAAGCTTAGCAAAGCATTGGGACTGCGGTTCTAATCCCCCAGCACCACATGCCAGCCAGCCCCGCCCCCTGGTGGGCTGAGCTGAGCTGGCC